TCAGTGTCTCAGTTTATGCCACACTTTCTTGCAATCAACACAGAAAGCACAGTGCATGTGTGTTAAGTCATTTCAATCATGTCTGACTCCCTGTGACCCTACAGACTGTAGCCCGCCAGCCTCCTCTGTCCATGGGATTCTCCAGGCAAAAATATTGGAGTGGGTTGCCATTTCCTTCTCCAGAGGATCTTCCTGACCCAGGGATGCAACACGTGTCTCTTATATCTCCTGTGTTGGCAGGCAGGTTCTTTACCACTAGAGCCACCGACGGAAGCCCAGAAACCACAGTAGAGGGCAGCAAATACTTCTTTTGAAATTGCAATTTATGTTAATGTTTGCATCATAATTATTAGCCTATTAATTGTAGGTAGTTCAGTTGTTCACCATGCTTTCATCTGAATAAAAATCTGTTATTTCAGTGTCCTTCCTTGACACAGTACTACAAAGCTGGAAAACACCTCAAATTAAATTATTGATTGGAAAGGAGCCAATTCATGTCACCAGGGTGAAATCTGAGACTCATAAAACGTTTGAAGTGACTTCACAGAGATGCGAACATGTACCCTCGAAGATGCTTAAGTTCTCCCATCAAGCAACGAAGCTCCCTCCTCTTAGTCTGGATCCTGGTCACCCCTTCACCCTCTTCTCTCGTGCTGAAAACATAGATTATCTAGTCACTTAGGATTTATAAGTAGTTACAAAGACCAACCTAGACAACATATTGAAAAACAGAAACATTACTTTGCCAACAAAGGTTCATCTAGTCAAAGCTGTAGCTTTTCCAGGAGTCATGTATTGATGTGAGAGTTGGACTATAAAGAAAGCTGAGTGCCGAAGAATTGATGCTTTTGAGCTGTGGTGTTGGAGAAGACTCTTGAGAGTCCCTTGGACTGCAAGGCGATCCAACCAGTTCATCCTAAAGGAGATCAGTCCTGGGTGTTCATTGGAGGGACTGATGCTGAAGCTGAAACTCCAATACTTTGGCCACCTCATGCGAGGAGCTGACTCATTGGAAAAGACCCTGATGCTGGGAGGGATTGAAGGCAGGAGGAGAAGGGGACGACAGAGGATGAGATGGTTGGAAGGCATCACCGACTCAATGGACATGAGTCTGAGTAAACTCTGGGAGTTGGTGATGGACAGGGAGGCCTGGCGTGCTGTAGTCCATGAGGGTGGCAAAGAGTTGGACACGACTGAGTGACTGAACTGAACTGAACTGAACAATGACTTAAAGAAAGATGTCACCCAGGATTTCTGTTTACATGTTTGTCATTTTTCTTGTGAAAGTGAAGTGAAAATTAAAGTCGCTCAGCTTTGTCCGACTCTTTGTGACCCCTTGGACTATACAGCCCATGGAATTCTCTAGGCCAGGTGTCGCCAGACACCTCCCTCTACCTTACCACCATTCCTAAAGCTTGCAGGAGAGCTACTGCATGGTTCAAAATCTGGTCTACAAACAATCATGTTCTCCATTCTCTCCTCATTTTTCTGTTGGCAGTTTATTGGAGAGACCACTAGTGTTTAAGCCCCTACTTCAGTCAAAGCCTAGACTCCTGAGTTCTGTTCCTCTCAGGACCTTAGGAAGTTCACAGTCAATAACCTCCCTTTGAACTCTGTCACCAAAATGATCTCAAGGCTAAGTGTTAAACAGTGAACAGATTCACTTCATAGGTCAGCTTGTCTGCCTGATTTAGGAAAGTTTTCTGTGCAGACAGTTGTAGGTCATTCCTTTCAGAGGCAAATCCTGCTTTGTTTTCAGTGCCTAACATTATTAAAATAAAAATTTCTCAGAATTTCCCAGAATTTGGTAAATCCAGGCAAGGGGATAAACAGACACATGTTAAATGCATTTGATGGCAACACTCATTTCATTCAGTATTTAGTGGGTACTTTTATGCACTTAGTATAGGTCTAGAACTGTCTCAGCACTGGAGATACGACAAGAAAACTGCATCTTTGCCTCATGGAGCTTGTTCAGAAAAATAGGGAACAAGGCCCAAAACCTTTCATATTGAACCTCTGTTGGGTCAAAAATAATTTCAGAAATCAATGTGAAGTCTTCAATTATACTTAGAATCATTTGATGGATCCTAACTGCAGAAATTTCACTGGTCATAAAGTTTCAGTAAACACAACCTTTGAATCTAATCTATCACCTGTAAATAGAAAACCAGTCTAAATTAAAAAGAAACTTACTTTCAAGCCTAAAAATAACAGGGAAGTTATTTCAGCTTTATGAGATATACTTTAGACGGATTATTGTGTATAGTTGGTTTCAGCGAACACTAAAAAGATTCCCTCTTCTCACAAAGTATTGCCAACACCGAGCCACAAAGCATTTCCTTTATAACACTCTTTCACAACCGTAAGAATTAAAAGAAATGACAATGCCCTCTAGTTATGTTTTCTTTCATTGTCTCCTTATTTATATCTCATTTAATTGTGTTATGATAGAAAGTCTGGATTTTTTAACCCAAGATACTAAGGTATGGTCTTCCCGGGTGGTCCATGGTTAAGAATCCACCTTCCAATGCAGGGGATGCAGGTTTGACCCCTGGTCTCGGGATCCAAGATCCCATGTGCCTGTGGGGCAACGAAGCCCATGCTTCCCAACTACGGGCCCTGACACCCCAGATCCTGCGTGCCACAGTTACAGAACCCACAGGCCGCAAAAACAATATGCTAAGATGTTTCTTTTTTCACACCCACACTTTGAGTTTTATGTGCTCTTCCAAGAATTAAAAACTGTGTTGTTCTGGGAGGAAGAAGAAATTCTATGGTTTGTTTATCCCAGATTATCTTTAGCATATTTCAGATATAAAATTGCTTAAATGTATATAAAGTATTATAATTCCAGCTGATGCATATGACTTTTACAGGGAGAATTTCCATTTCCTCACCATCCTCTCATTGCTTTATTCTGTGTGATGCAGGCTCTGTCCCCACCATTCTATGAACATTTGAAATGCAGGTCACATGTAATTTTTTTTCTTTACCTGATTAGAAATGGTAACATAGGGTCAATACAGAAAGCTGAAAAACACGAAGAAAATGAAATATCCATAATCCTGTCAACTATTAATTTTGGGATATTTCCTGCTAACCCCTTTATGTGTATCAAGTAGTACTTTTGTTTTAATAGAAGGAACGACAAAAGTTATATAGTGATTTGAAGCCTTCATTTTCCACTTAACGTATATAGTTTCTCACATTCATATTTTTTTACACTGCTGCACAGCCTTCCATGCTGTAAACTACCTATCATAAAACCCTTAAGACTTCTGCTAGACACATAGGGTTTAAAATTTTCCCAAAACTATAATCTTTGCTCATGGCTCTGATGATTTCTTTGGAATAAATTATCAATGGGACTGGTGATTTAAAAGTCATGACCATATTAAAACTTTTTAACATACAAAAATGTTATGTTAAAAACTAAAAGTTTGGGGGTATTGGTCCCCTCAACACGTTTACTCACACTGGTTGACCTTTTTATTCTTTGCCACGTAATGAGAAAATGGCAGCTCCTTTTGTTTGTTCCTTAATGCCAGTCATGTTACTTTCGTTTTCCTTCTACTAGTCATACAGGTTTACTTACAACTTTACACATAAATTGTTCTCACTCTTAATTTTCCAGCATCGTTTGCAAGAGTGTTTCAACAGAAAAGTTTTCCCCTTTATCCATTTCACCTAACCAGTTCCTACTCCTCCCAACTGTAATGACATCCATTGCGTCCAAGAATTTGGCCCTTAATGCAGCTTCCTTTTTACCTTTTTCATGTATGTATATTTCATCTTCCATAAAACAGTTAGTCCCTTACATAGAGTTGAGGCCCATTATGCTGACGGCCCGGGGTTGTTTAACCATTTACTTTCCCAGAGATGCTCTCCTGGGAACACAGGGCAGAACAAATGGATTTTAGCAGTTGGGAGAGCGATGGCCAAACCTTTCGTGATTTTGAAACCTATCCGGCCATGAGAGGCTTCAGTAGCAGAGGCTAAGCCACGGAAATCTCAAATATCGTTGTGAATGATGCCTAATGGCAAAGACCGATCAAGGGCCCAGGTGTCCTGACAATCTGGAGGGCCCCAGGTCCAAAGGAGTCATGACGGGTGTCTGTCCCACAGTGACCCACTGCCTAAGCTCTAGATTTCTATTTTCAGGTCGTTACGCTTGATTTTTCCGGGAAAGGGACAATGATGACCACGCCAGCCCTTGATTCCCTTCCACCTTCTTGCGTAGGGTGGTTAACAGTCTTTTCACCAAGAGGCGGCGAACCAGCTATTCCCGCTGAGTCGCCGCGGCTCTCCTTCAGGTCTGCAGGCAGAGGAACCAGACACTCCGTGTGCCGGCGGAGGCGCACCGACGTCTCCACACCCACCGGGAACCCTCTGCAGCGCCGCCCCCCGCCCCCTCGCCCCCCGCCTACCCGGCGCAGGAACCGCCCTCCCAGGCGCCGGGACCGCCCCTCCGGACGCCTGGACCGCCCCTTCGGGCGCAGAGACCACTCCCCAAGGCGCAGGGACCGCCCCTCCAGGTTCAGGGACCGCCCCCCAAGGCTCAAGAACCGCCCCTCCAGGCGCCGGGACAGCCCCTCCGGGCGCAGAGACCGCCTCCTAAGGAGCAGGGACCGCCCCTCCAGGCTCAGGGATCGCCCCCCAGGTGCAGGGACCGCCCCTCCGGGCACACGGACCGCCCCTCCAGCATAGGGACCGCCCCTCCAGGAGCCGGGACCCCTCCCGGCGCCGAGGCCCCGCCTTGCAGCCCGCCCATTGGCCCCGCTAGACCCTCACCCCGCCCCCGGAACGGCCCAGCCACGCCCTCCGCGTTACTGCTCCGGGCACCTTGTGAGTCGGGATTGTTGCGTCTGGCAACCGAGCTCAGCGCCGGGCTGGGCTCAGCTTTCCCGCCGGTCTCCCCGAAAGTGACAGGGGCTTTCGTATCGCACAAGCCCCTCCTGGTCGCCCCGAGAGTCCCCCTTTTCTGGTGCCTCGTAGGGATGCTTTTGGTGGTCCTCGTGCTCCTGCTGCCCACAGTCTCCGGTAGGAGCCTGCAGAGTGTGCGCGCTGGTGCGGAGCCGGAGCGGCTCGCGAGGCCGGCCGACTGGAACCGAGGGTGGGAGGAGATTTGCTTTTTGTCTCTCGTGAGAGTCGTGGGGCTGGGTCCACTCCGCGGTCATAAGGAGTTGGGGTAGAAAGCGTGACCAGAGCGTCCGCGGGTCGGGCTGCGTAGAGATCTAGGGGAGTAGGGACTACATAGCTCTGGAAGAGAAGTCTTGCTTGCGGGGGGCACTCAGCGATGCGGGGTGATGGGCGAAACTGAGGCTTACCAAGGGCCAGGCTGGTGGTGTTCAGTCGCTAGTCGTATCTGACTCTGCAAACCCATCGACTGCAGCAAACCAGGCTTCCCTGTCCTTCACCATCTCCTGGAGTTTGCTCAGACTCATGTCCATTGAATCGGTGATGCCATTCAACCGTCTCCTCCTCTGCAGTCCCCCTCTCCTCCTGCCTTCAATCTCATCAGGTGACCAAATGAACCGCAGACTGCTGATCTGGTGCTGGTGGTGACGGTTTGCTCGTGAGTTCCCAGGTGCCTGGGGATGTAGTTAGGCTGCTGTTGTGCCTGTGGGGACGTTTGCCCTATATTCTCTGGGCAGTTTGATAACTTGGTAGTAGGGGTGTTTGTGCCCCTGGGGCTTGGCTGGGCTAGGGGAGCCCACACAGAGTGTTCTCTAGTGTGTACTTTGTAGAAGTGCCACCCGGTGGTGCCAAGTGTGGGCCCAGGAAGCTACTGCTTGCTTTGTGTGGGGCTGGGAAGTTCATCTGGAGGTCAGGTAAGACCAGGGGCTGGGTGGGGCCCCACCCATTTCCCCCACCCATTTCCCCCACCCATTTCCCCCACCCTCCCAGTTCCTCTTTGGTGGTGGAGGCTGTAACTCAGGATCCTGGGGGCAGCAGAAGTCACCATCCTTGTGCCCCACGTGGTGATGCCATTGACGCTGGCAGCAGCAAGGTACCAACACCCAAGAGGTATAAAAAGTAATAAGGTGGCCACAGGGCAAGACCTGTGAAGGAGGCAGTGGAGGGTGAAAAGTGCCCGTTTGCAGATATTGCCAGAGGCAGCGCAGGAGAGAGAAACCAAGGACGTGCTGTAGTGCCACCTGCTGGGGGAAAAATCTTTTAATTTCTAACAGGTTGAGTCATTCTCTTCCTGCCTTATTGCACCTAGTTACCCTTTTTGTGGAACTAAAAAGCCTCTTGATGCAAGTGAAAGAGGAGAGTGAAAAAGTTGGCTTAAAGCTTAACATTCAGAAAACTAAGATCATGGCGTCTGGTCCCATCACCTCATGGGAAATAGATGGGGAGGCAGTGGAAACAGTGTCAGACTTTATTTTTTTGGACTCCAAAATCACTGTGGATTGTGCCTGCAGCCATGAAATTAAAAGATGCTTACTCCTTGGAAGGAAAGTTATGGCCAACCTAGATAGCATATTAAAAAGCAGAGACATTACTTTGCCAACAAAGGTCCGTCTGGTCAAGGCTATGGTTTTTCCAGTGGTCATGTATGGATGTGAGAGTTGGACTGTTGAAGAAAGCTGAGCACCGAAAAATTGATGCTTTTGAACTATGGTGTTGGAGAAGACTCTTGAGAGTCCCTTGGACTGCAAGGAGATCCAACCAGTCCATCCTGAAGGAGATCAGTCCTGGGTGTTCATTGGAAGGACTGATGCTGAAGCTGAAACTCCAATACTTTGGCCACCTCATGCGAAGAGTTGACTCTGGAAAAGACCCTGATGCTGAGAGGGATTGGGAGCAGGAGGAGAAGGGGGCGACAGAGGATGAGAAGGCTGGATGGTATCACCGACTTGATGGGCATGAGTTTGAGTAAACTCTGGGAGTTGGTGATGGACAGGGAAGCCTGGCATGCTGCGATTCATGGGGCACAAAGAATTGGACACGACTGAGCGACTGAACTGAATTGAACCCTTTTTATGCATGTTAAAGTTCCAAAGAAGTAAGTTAACCATGTACAGGGGTGAATTCTAACTAATCAAAATACTGTACGTGGCATTTTATAAAAACATTAAGCCTTTTATACCCCAGCCTACCTGCCGGGAGCCTACCTGCAAAGGAAGGCAAACAGACAGAAAGTAAGGAATAGTCATGAATTGTTTCTGAAGACTTGGATTCAGTATCTTTTCTTTACAACTGATGATGCATCTACCATCCAGTTTCATCTTCCCCACCGACTGGAACCATGATTTTGTAGCACATTTTCCAAGTTTGATAAAAAGGTGTGCAGTGTTATAGAATGTAATTGTTCTTGCTTACAAGCACTGTACCAGCCTTCTAAAAAGTTTGTTAATCAACCATGGACATCAATTTCAATAAACTTTTGTTTTTTATATTCATTTTAAAAGGTAGTTTGTGTAGACAGTGAAAGAAGGGGCAGGATGGTCAGGTTTCAGTGAGATTTCACTTTGATCAGAGACCAGAATTTTCCTGAAGGTACTGCCTGGGCAGGGATCTGGTTTTGTGCTTGAGTACCAGAGTGATGTTTAAATTTAGCAAGCAGGTGGAGAGTCTCTGCACAACTTTTGTAAGTGTACAGAAGGTGAACAGTTCTCTTGATATGTAGTACAGACTCTTTCATCTTCCTGAAACTCATCTGGAAAACTAGGGAATTTTATGAATGCAGCCTATCATATTATATAATGGCATCTGCTGTTAACGTATAGCATTGCAACCCAATAATTATTATAATGTAAATTATCTAGGAAAAAACTTAGTCACAATACTAGTTTTCTGAAACTAGAAATGTTTAGTTTGAAAATCACACAGGAGTAAAGAATTCAGTATTCTGAGTAAGAGAAGAAATTTGGTAATTAAAAAGCATGGTATTGGACTCAATCATTAAACCTTGTATGTTTAAACCTTGTATTCAACTGGTTGCCAAAACGTACATTCCAAACTGTATGTAGTTGAAAGTGTACCTTTCATGATGCTCATTAGTGGGAAGAAATACTCGTTGGCTAAATGGATTAAACCATCCCATTGACATTTCTTTTCATATTAGAAATTCTTTCTTCATGATATGGTTTCAAGATAGGTAGTGAAATCAGATACATAAACAAATGACACTTGTATAATTTAATTATGGACATGCTATTAACTTGATTTCTCTCTTGGTTCCAGGAAACTCTGGATGATGTTGTATCTATTAATGGGAATTATATTGCATTTCTAATCCATTTTTTTCCTACTGTAAAATGACGATGTATGGCTCAGAGTATTCAGTATATTTAATGTTATTCATAAAATTCAATGCTATCCTGACTTTTTTGTTGTTCTTGTTCAGTCGCTAAGTTGTATCCGACTCTTTGCAATCCCATGAACTACAGCAAACCAGGCTTCCCTGTCCTTCACTGTCTCCCAGAGCTTGCTCAAATTTATGTCCATTGAGTTGGTAATACTACCTAACCATCTCATTCTCTGCCCCCCACTTCTCCTTTTGCCTTCAGTCCTTCCCAGCATCAGGGTCTTTTCCAATGAGGTGGCTCTTCGCATCAGGTGGCCAAAGTTTTGGAGTTTCAGCTTCAGCACCAGTCCTTCAAATGAATATTAGGATTGATTGGTTTTATCTCCTTGCTGTCCAAGGGACTTGCAAGAGTCTTCTCCATTACCACAATTCCAAAGCATTAATTTTTTGGCACTCAGCCTTCTTTATGGTCCAATTCTCATATCTGTACATAACTACTGGAAAAACCATAGCTTTGACTATACGTACCTTTATCAGCAAAGTGATGTCTTTACTTTTTAACACGTTGTCTAGGTTTGTCATAGCTTTCCTTCCAAGGAGCAAACATCTTTTGATTTCATGGCTGCAGTCACTGTCCGCAGTGATTTTGGAGCCCAAGAGAATGAAGTCTGTCACTGCTTCTACTTTTTCCACATCTATTTGCCATGAAGTGATGGGACCTGATGCCATGATTTTGGCTTTTTGAATGCTGAGTTTCAAGCCAGCTTTTTCAGTCTCCTCTTTCACCGTCAAGAGGCTCTTTATTTATTTATTTTTAAGAGGCTCTTTAGTACTGATCTTTAAACTCTGTTTTTAATAACTGCATCCTTTTTTGTTTGTTTGTTGCTTTTGTTTTGGGCAGTTTATTGAGGAGATTTCATATATTAAGACCAGAATAGTGGAAATGTTGAAAACATTTTGCCAAAAGTGGATTTCAGCACTTTGTGTAGTGAAATGTTGGACAGAATGTCAAGAGAGGAGTTTAGACTTTAGAAAATGATGAAAAAGGAGGATAACATTTCACTTGTTTAGAGTTCTCTTTTGACTAGTCTTTCGATCTGAAGACCTAGACCCAAAGAATAAGAAAGAAAAGTTCCCTCAGGGATCAAAATAGTCTATCTCCCATCCCCTTAGGTCCTATAACCTTATAGGAAAGGCCACTGCCTCCTTTTAGCACTTTAGGACTTTAACCAATGTGTCTCCACCATAATATTTTACATTATTTTCTAACATTTATAAGATTTTCAAGAGCACAGATAATTAAAAGGAAGAGGACTTGCTGAAGTAGGAACAACACTGTTCTAGGGAAGAACCCCCCACAAAAAAAGGACAGAGGTAAAAAAAATTCTAAAAGCATAGCAATATAGCAGCTTCACTGTCCGGATGCATTGGATAAACAGCCCAAAGAGCTACTGCAGGGAGTTTCTAAGGGAATGCACAATTCATTAATCAATGAAAGAAGATTAAATGATTACTACTGGAACATCCAAGAAACCAATTTTTACTAAGGCTATTCAAAGTAATAAAATTTGATATTTCAAGGGTTTCCATTTATTTGCAAAATGCTCAATTCACTAATACAAAACACATAAAGGAAGTCATAATTTTAAATATTTTAGTCAATATTTATTTTTATCTATGATATCTACAAGGCTTATTTGATATTTACCTCTTGCCATAGCATGTCTTGAGCACCCAGTGTGTACGGAGTGTCCTACAAAAAGAAGGTGTATGCTTCCTGCCCTCTAGGACCTTGCCTTCTGAGAAGAAACTGAACCCAAAGTGATAGGTGATCATATGCTTGTGTTTCAAACTGTGGAAGCATAATCTTATAGAAGACCTCTTAGAGGAGAGGTGAATGTCAAAATAATGAATTTAAAAAGAAGTGGGGAAGGACACATACCTATAAACATATTTTAAAACCAAAAACATTGATGCTATCTCTTCAATTTAGTGTTGAATGAAATTTCACCTTAATCCTCAACAAACCAAAAGCTCATAGATTATTATGTAAAATAAGCAAGGCACATCCTTTGCAACAATTACCACTTGGGTAAAAGCAAGAACAGTCATTTAAAATCTTGCCAAGAATCTTTCTATTTATTCTGTACTACCTACCTGATGCCAGGCCACAGTCCCTGCCTGATGAAAGAAATAAGCTATTTTATTTTCATGTTCTTATTCTCTTTATTCCTAGATGCCTGTGGTGATCCACCAAGGTTTGAAACTATGAGGCTCCAGGGTGCGCCTAAACCCAGGTATCATCCTGGGGAACATATACAATATGACTGTCGCCTAGGTTTCAAGCCCATAATTCCTCTTCGTTCCAGATCTGCTGTTTGTGAGGATGACAATACATGGTCAGTTCTTGAGGAGGCCTGTACAAGTAAGTAAACTTTTTTTTTATTGCTCTGGAGAGTTTCACACATTTTAGTGCACATATTCGTCTACTGCAATAATGGTTCTCTCATGTGAATATGGGTTTTAGATGGCAATGCATTTTTTTCAGGCTTAAAAAATCCCCAAAGAATTTTTTTGTTGGCAATTGGTTACCTAGGTAGATATTAATCATGTTTGGCCATATAATATGGAAAGAAATAATAATTAAGTGAATAATAAGATCCCCATGAATTCAAACAAGAATTGTAGAATTTTGAATTTGATTTAAATCTATTTTCGAAATTGTTGTAAACCAACAAATTTTAATATTTTCTCTTAGGGAGATCATGTCCTAATCTGGGAGATCCAATGAATGGTCAAGTTTACTTCGTCAATGGAAGTATTCTGTTTGGTTCACAGGCTCACTTTGTTTGTAATCAGGGGTAAGTAAGATGCTACTTACAGAAAATAAGGTTAAATGGTACCAACTGTATTTTGGTTTTGCTCCTCTTCTTAAGCGTTCCTATAAACTTGATTTCATCTTGCTTTCTATGGGACAAATTATACTTGTGGCCAAACAACTTTTTCATTTTTTATGAAGATTTGAAATATGTGCAATAGAAAGACATTTAAGTTGAAGTAAAGCAAAATTGTATAATTTATGATATGTAATAATAAATCTATTGTATGCATTAAAAGTGTAGTAATCATGGTAACTTTATTTTTTGACAATAAAGTGTACCCTATTTAAAATTGCCAATTCTCTAAGCTGAAGTGAGGCTTTTAGAAATAGGCGGTAGAATTGTCAACTGAACTCTGGCTTAAAATTCAGCATTCAAAAACCTAAGATCATGGCATCCAGTGCCATCACTTCATAACAATAGATGGGGAAACAATGGAAACAGTGACAGACTTTATTTTCTTGGGCTCCAAAATCTCTGCAGATGGTGACTACAGCCATGAAATTAAAGGATGCTTGCTTCTTGGAAAGAAAGCCATGGACAATCTAGACAGCATATTAGAAAGCAGAGACACGGCGTTGCTGACAAAAGTCCATCTAGTCAAAGCTATGGTTTTTCCAGTAGTCATGTATAGATGTGAGAGTTGAACTGGAAAGAAAGCTGAGCGCCAAAGAATTGATGCTTTTGAATTGTGGTGTTGGAGAAGACTCCTGATAGTCCCTTGGAGACTATCAGAAGTCCCAAGGAGACTTGGAGTCCCAAGGAGATCAAACTAGTCCATCCTAAAGGGAATCAGTCCTGGATATTCATTGGAATATTCATATGCTGAAGCTCCAAAACTTTGGCCACCTGATGCGAAGAACTGACTCATTAGAAAAGACCCTTATGCTGGGAAAGATTGACGGCAGGAGGAGAAGGGGACGACAGAGAATGAGATGGTTGGCTGGCATCACCAACTTGATGGACATAAGTTTGAGCAAGCTCTGGGAGATGGTGATGGACAGGGCAGTCTGGTGTTCTGCAGTCCATGGGGTCGCAAAGAGTTGGACGTGACGGAGCGACGGAACTGAATTGCTTTGCCATGCTGTATTGGTTTCTACCATACAGCAAGGCAAATCAGCCATAATTATATGTTCATTCCCTCCCTCTTGAGCCTCCCTTGTTCCTGTCATCCCACCCCTCTAGGGTTTCACAGAATACCAGGCTGGGCTCCTTGTGAGAGATAGCAGCTTCCCACTAGCTATCTGTTTTACGTATGACAGGGCATATATGTCAAGGCTACTTTCCCAGTTCATCTTACTCTCTTCTTCCCCCACAGTGACCAAAAGGCCATTCTCTAAGTCAGGGTCTCCATTCCTTCACTGCAAAGAGATTCACCAGTACTACTTTTCTAGATTCCAGATATATGTGTATAATATGAGATTTTTTTTCTGACTTACTTCACTCTGTATAACAGGCTCTAAGTTCATCCACCTCACTAGAATTGACTTACATTTTTTTCCTTTTTTATGGGCTGAGTAATATTCCATTGTGTATATGTTCTACATCTTCTTTATCCATTTCTCTCTCGATAGGCATCTAGGTTGCTTCCATGTCCTGGCTATTGTAAATAGTGCTGCAGTTAACATTGGGTACATGTGTCTTTTGAATTGTTGTTCTCTCAAGGCATGTGCTCAGCAGTGAGATTGCTGGGTCATATGGAAGATTTATTCCTAATTTGTTAAAGAATCTTCATACTGCTCTTCATAGTTGCTGTATCATTTACATACTCACCAACAATGCAAGAGGATTCCCTTTTCTCCACATCCTGCCCAGCATTTATTGTTTGTAGTTTTTTGATGATGGCCATTTTGATCGTTGTCAGGTAATACCTGATTGTAACTTTGGTTGCATCTCAAATAATAAGGGATGTTGAGCATTTCTTCATGTATTTATTGGCAATCTGTCTTCTTTGGAGAAATGTCTGTTTAGGTCTTGTGCCCATTTTTGATTGGGCCTTTTGTTTTTCTAAGATTGAGCTGTGTGACCTGTTTATATATTCTGGAGATTAATCCTTCATCAGGTATTTCATTTGCAATTATTTTCTCTCATTCTGAGCGTTGTCTTTTCATCCTGTTTATTGTTTCCTTATCTGTGCAAAAAAAAGCTTTGATGTTTAGTTAGGTCCCATTTGTTTATTTTTGTTTTTATTTCCATTGCTCTAGGAGGTGGGTCAAAGAGGATCTTGCTGTGATTTATGTCAAAGAGTATATTGCCTGTATTTTCCTCAAACAGCTTACAGTGTCTGGCCTTATATTTAAGTCTTTAATCCATTGTGAGTATATTTTTTTGTATGGTTTTAGGAAGTGTTCTAATTTCATTCTTTTGCATATAGCTGTCCATTTTCCCCAGCACCACTTATTGAAAAGACTGTCTTTTCTCCATTGTATATTCTTGCCACCTTTGTCAAAGATAAGGTACCCATGGCCATGTGGGTTTATTCCTGGGCTTTCTATCTTGTTCTGTTTGTTTATATTTTTGTTTTTGTGCCAGTACCATATACTGTCCTGATGACTGTAGCTTTGTAGCTTTATAGCATAGTCTGATGGAGAAGGCAACGGCACCCCACTCCAGTACTCTTGCCTGGAAAATCCCATGGACGGAGGAGCCTGGTAGGCTGCAGTCCATGGAATTGCAAAGAGTCGGACATGACTGAGCGACTTCGCTTTCACTTTCATGCATTGGAGAAGGAAATGGCAACCCACTCCAGTGTTCTTGCCTGGAGAATCCCAGGGACGGGGGAGCCTGGTGGGCTGCCATCTATGGTGTCGCACAGAGTCAGACACAACTGAAGCGACTTAGCAGCAGCAGCAGCAGCAGCAGCAGAGTCTGAAGTCAGGAAGGTTGATTCCTCCATTTCTATTTTTCTTTCTCAAGATTTCTCTGGCCATTTGGGATTTTTTGTACTTCCATACAAATAGTGAAATTTTTGTTCTGCTTCTGTGAAAAATGCCACTGTTAGTTTGATATGAATTGCATTGACTCTGTAGATTGCTTTGAGTAGTATAGTCATTCTGAAAATATTGATTATTCCAATTCAAGAACATGGTATATTTCTCCATCTATTATGGTCATTGGGATTTCTTTCTTGTAGTTTTCTACATACAGATGTTTTGACTCTTTAGGTAGGTAAATTTCTTATTTTATTGCTTTTGTTGCAGTGGTGAATGGGATTGTTTTCTTAATTTCTCTTTCTGATTTTTCACTGTTAGTGTATAGGAATGCAAGGGATTTCTCTCCATTAATTTTTTCATCCTGTAACTTTAATAAATTCATTGATTAGCTCTAGTAATTTTATGGTGATAACTTTAGGGTTTTTTATGTATGGTATCATGTCATCTGCAAACAGTGCAAGTTTTCTTCTTCTTTTCCAATTCTGGATTCAATAATTCTTTTTCTTCTCTGATTGCCATGGCTAGGATTTCCAAAACTATATTGAATGATAATGGTGAGAGTGTGCACCATTGTCTTCTTCCTGATCTTAGAGGAAATGCTTTCAATGTTTCACAACTGAGAAAAATGTTTGCTGTGAGTTTCTCATATATGGCCTTTATCGTGTTGAGGTTGGTTCCCTCTATGACCACTTTCTGGAAAGTTTTTGTAAATTTGTAAAGTTTTGTAAATTTTATAAATTTTGTAAATTGTTGAATTCTGTCAAACCTCTTTCTACATATATTGAGGTGATCATATGGCTTTTATTCTTTAATTTGTTCACATGGTGTATCACACCAATTGATTTGTGGATATTGAAAAATCCTCGCATTCCTAGGATAAAGCCCACTTGATAATGGTGGAGGTACATTTTAATGTATTGTTCAATTTGAATTGCTAGTATTTTGTTGAAGATTTTTGCATCTATGTTCTTCAGTAATAGTGCCTATAATTTTCTTTTATGTGGTATCTTTGTCTGGCTTTTTTATTAGCATGATGATGGCCTCATAGAATGAGTTTAGGAGTGTTCTTCCCTCCTAAATTTTTGGAATAGTTTGAGAATGTTAACTCATCTTTAAATGTTTAATAGTATTCACCTGTGAAGCCATCTCGTCCGGGGCTTTTATTTGCTGGGAATTTTTTAATCAACTTTCAATTTTAGTACTCGTAATTGGTCTGTTCATATTTTCTCTTTTTTTCTGGTTCAGTCTTAGGAGAGTGTACCTTTCAAAAAATTTTTGCATTCCTTCCAAGTTGTCCATTTTATCAGCATAGAGTTGCTCATAGTATTCTCTTATGGTCCTTTGTATTTCTGCATCTTCTGTTGTAACTTCTCCTTTTTCATTTCTAATTTTATTGACTTGAATCTTCTTTTTTTTTCTTGATGAATCAGCTAATGGTTTGTCAATTTTATCTTCTAAAAGAACCAGTTTTTAGTTTTATTAATCTTTTTTATTGTTTCCTTCATTTCTTTTTCAATTATATCTGCTCTGCTCTTTATGATTTCTTTCCTTATACTAATTATTGTTTTTCTTCTTCTTTGTCTAGTTACTTTATGTGTAAGGTTAAGCTGTTTATTTGATATTTCTGTTGTTTCTTGAGGTAGGCTTGTATTGCTATAAGCCTCCCTCTTAGCACTATTTTTGCTGAATCCCATAGGTTTTCAATTTTTGTGTTTTCATTGTCATTTGTTTCTATATATTCTTTGAATTCTTCAGTGACCTCTTGGTTATTTAGAAGCATATTTTTAATCTCCATTTATTTGTGTTTTTTAAATTTTTTTCCTACAGTTGATAAATAATCTTATACCACTGTGGTCACAAAAAATACTTGATGCAATTTTAATTTTCTTAAATTTACCAGGCCTTGATTTCTGACCTCAGATGTGAAATATCCTGGAGAATATTTCATTTGCATTTGAGAAAAAAGTGAATTCTGCTGCTTTTGGATGGAATGTCTGTAGATATCAGTTAGCTCCATTTGGTTCAGTGTGTGGTTTAAGGCTCATATTT